ATACCTACCTCAGAAAAAGAAGAAAGACTCTAAATAAACAACGTAATGTTACAGCTCAAGGAGCTGGAAAAACAAGAACAAACCCAAAATCAGTAGAAGGAGAGTAATAACAAAGATCAGAGCAGAAATATATGAATTAGAGTATAAATAAAAAGATCAATGAAACAGAGTTGGTTTTTCAAAAACAGAAACAAAATTGATAAATCTTTAGCTAGATCAATGAAGAGTAAAAGAGTGAAGACTCAAATAATAAAATTGGAAATGAAAAAGGAGACTCTCTAAGTGATATAACAGAAATACAAAGACCATGAGACTACTATGAACAACTATATGCAAATAAACTGGAAAACCTAGAAGAACTGGAAAAATTCCTGGATACATACAACTTACCAAAGTTGAATCATGAAGAACTAGAAAACCTAAACAGATCAATAACAAGTAATGAGATAGAAGCAGTAATAAAAAGTCTTCCAACAAAGTAATCCCCAGGACCAGATGGCTTAAAGAAGAACTAATGCCAAATACTTCCAAACTCATTCTATGAGGCCAGCATTACCCTCTTACCAAAATCAGAAAAGACACAACAAAAAAAGAAAACTACAGACCAATATCCCTAGTGAACACAGATGCAAATATCCTCAACAAAATACTAGCAAACAGAATCAAACAACACATTAAAAAGATCATTCACCATGATCAAGTGGGATTCATCCCAGGGATGCAAGGATGGTTCAACACATGCAAATCAATAAACATGTTGCATCACATCAACAGAATGAAGGGAAAAAACCCATATGATCATTTCAATAGATACAGAAAAAGCATTTAATAAAATCCAATACCCATTCATGATAAAACATTCAAGAATTTAGGTATAGAAGGAATGTACCTCAATACAGTAAAGCCCACATACAACAACCCACAGCTAACATCATACTAAATGGACAAAAATTGGAGGCTTTTCCTCTAAGATCTGGAACAAGACAAAGATGCCCACTTTCTCCACTCCTATTCAACATAGTACTAGAAGTTCTAGCCCCCCAATAAGGCAAGAGGAAGCAATAAAGGGCATTCAAATTGGAAAGGAGGAAGTCAAACTATCCCTATTTGCAGATGACATAATCCTATATATAAAAAACCCTGGAGACTCCACCAAGAAATTACTAGAACTAATAAATGAATTCAGTATAATGGCAGGAAACAAAATTAACAAAAATCAATAGTCTTTATATGTGCCAATAACACAATAGCTAAAGAAGAAATCAGGAAAGAAATCCCATTTATAATACCTATCAAAAAAATTAAACACCTGGGAGTAAATTTAACCAAGGATGTGAAAGACCTCTACAATGAAACTATAAACACTGGTGGAAAAAACTGAAGAAGACACAAATAAATGGGAAGATATCCTATGTTCATGGGTTACAAGAATTAACATCATCAAAATGTCCACATTACACAAAGCAATCTATACATTCAATGCAATCTCTATGAAAATACTAATAAATTTTTTTCACAGAAATAGAAAAAACAATTTTAAAATTTGTATGGAACTACAAAAGAACCCGTATACCTGAAGCAATCTTGAACAAAATGAACAAAGTTGGAGGCATCACACTCCTTGACTTCCAAATATACTATGAAGCTATAGTAACTAAAACAGCACAGTACTGGCATATAAACAGACAAATTGACCAATGGAATAGAATAGAGAGCCCTCAAATAAACCTCCTCATTTACAGCCAACCAATTTTTGACAAAGATGACAAAAATATACAATTGGGAATAGGAAAAGGACAGCTTCTTTAACAAATGATGCTGGGAAAACTGGATATCCACATGCAAAAGATTGAAACTAGACCCCTGTCTCTCACACATACAAAAATCAACTCAAAATGGATCAACGACCTAAATTTAAGAGCTGAAACTATGAAACTACTAGAAGAAAACACAGTAGAAACACGACAATAAATGGGAGTGGGCAGTGCTTTTTTGAGCGAGACTACAAAGGCACAGGCAACTAAAGCAAAAATACACAGATGGGACTACATCAAACTAAACCCCTTCTGTACAGCAAGGGACACTGTCAACAAAGTTAAGAGACAACCTACAGAATGAGAGAAAATGTTTGCAAACTATGCTTCTATAAACAAGGGCTAATATCCAGTATGTATAAGGAACTTAAACAATTCAACAGCAAAAAACTAAATAACCCAATTAAAAAATGGGCAAAGAACCTGAAAGATATTTCTCAAAAGAAGACATACAAATGACCAACAAGCACATGAAAAAATGCTCAAAGTCACTAATTATCAAGGAAATGCAAATTAAAACCACAATGAAATAGCATCTCACTCCAGTTAGACTGACTGTTATCAGCAAGACGAAAAATAACAAATGCTGGTGAGGATGCAGAGAAAAGGGAACCCTCCTGCATTGCTGGTGGGAGTGTAAATTGTACAGCCACTGTGGAAAACACTATGGAGGTTCCTCAGTGAACTAAAAATAGACCTACCTTATGACCCAGCTACCCCACTACTGGGTACATACCAAAGGAAATATATCAGTCTATCAAAAAGACACTTGCACTCACTCCCATGTTCATCACAGCCCTATTCACAACAGCCAAGAGATAGAATCAACCCAAATGCCCATCAATGGCTGAACGGATAAAAACACTGTGGTATATATACACAATGCAATACTCCTCATGTATCAAAAAACCCTCCTATCATTTGTGGCAACATGGATGAACTGGAAACCATCACATTAAGTGAAGTAAGTAAAAAAAAGACAAATACCTCATGATATCACTCGTGTGGAATCTAAAAAAAACGTGTCTCTCATAGAAATAGAGAGTAGAATGATAGTTACCAGAGACCAGGGGTTGGGGTGGGGGGCAGAAGTAGTGGACAAATGGGTACAAAACTATGCTATCTACCCTAAGTGAATCATTGTGCAGTAGATGTATGTACTGAAACAACATACTGTACTCTACAAGTATGTACAAGTAAATGTTAAAATATTTTGAATAAATAAATAATTTTAAAAAAAAAGAAACTGCAAATCTCATCATATGCTTCTCTGACCTAAAACAGTTCCTTTGCACCCTTTTATCAGTGTAAAGTGAGGGCTGCTTAGCACAGCACACAGGGCCTGTCACAATAGGGCCCCTTACCTGCCTGCCCTGGTTTGACCCTTGCCATGCCCCATCACAATCTGTACTATGTACTGAACTGTGTCTGCTCCTAATTCATATGTTGAAGCCCCAACCCCCAGTGTGATTGTACTTGGAGACAGGGCCTTTTATGGAGGTAATAAGGTTAAATGAGGTCACGAGGTGGGGCTCTGATTCAATAGGATTGATGTTCTCATACAAATAGACTCCAGAGAACTCTCTCGCTTGCTCTCTTGCTGTCTCTCTCTCTCTCTCTCATGCACATTTGAGCATACCAAGAGAAGATGGCCATGTACAACTGGGACAGGAGCCCTCACCAGAAACCAAATTGGCCAGCACCTTGATCTTGGACTTCCCAGCCTCCATAACTATAAGAAATAAATTTCTGTTGTTTAAGTCACCCAGTCTATGGTATTTTGTTACAGCAGCCCAAGCAGACTGATACACTCTGTGATTCAGCCTTGAGTTTCACCAAATGCACTGGGATACTTGACCCCTTGCACTCTGTCTGGGAAGCCAGCCTCTTGCCCTGTTGTTTGAATTTTCAGGAGTCAGTTACGGCATCTCCTTTTTAGGACAGCCTCTCTCACCTGCCTCCCTAGACGAGTTCACCCTTTATTTTTTAGTTCCTCCACCCCTTGCTTAGGGCACCTAAACAAACTCTAGCAAAAGGTTTGTTTACAGAGACATAGCCCCCATCACACCACCTCCCTCTCAAGAGCGGGAAGACCAAATTATGTTCTATCTTATACCATCCTTAAAACTTGTGAAGTTATCGTTCTCACAAAATCCCATCTGTAGCTCCTACTAGAGATGGTTTCCAAACACACCTACTTATTTACTGTAACCAATATTTTTGCACCAAGCACTGGACAAAACTATTATTACTGTGGGGAGAATTCTAATTTAGTGATGGTTTGTACCCGAGACAAAGGAAGGACTTTCACTGAACAGACTCAGTCAAACAAGCTGCTTGGTTAATAATGGGTAGGCTTGCTCACTACTGGCATTTTCTGGTACCTGTGTACAGGTTGCATGTAAAGGAATCCTGGCCTCAGCCACGGCTTTATCATCTACTGAAATCTCTACCTGACCTTGGGAACATCACTTAAGCTCACCCAAGCTCAATTTTTTTTCTCATCTGTAAAATCAGGACAGCAATTACAAACTTTCTATTTAAACAATTATTGTGAAATTGATATGAGGAAAAGGACATGAAAAACACTCTAACTTGGTAAAGCACTATAGAAATGTTTGTTCTTTTAGTTATCAGTAATAATATTAAATAGGAGAAGTCAGTTTTCCTAGAGAATGAATATATCCCTATGGTAGACAGAATAATGGTCCCTAGTGAGATGCCTTTACCCCAGAACCTTTGAATATATTACCTTATATGGCAAAAAAGAACTTTGCAGATGTGATTAAGGTTACAGAATTGAGATGGGGAGATGACCCTGGATTACCCAGGAGGGCTCAGTCTAATCACAGGAGTCTTCTCCCAGCTGTGGTCAGAAAGAGAGAGATGTGAGGTTGCTGGTTTGGAAGATGAAGGAAGAGGCCACAAACCAAGGAATGCAGGAGGTTCTAACGTGCTGCAAAGAAGAAAGGAAATGGATTTTTCCTCTGAGCCTCCAGAAGCAGTAGAGCCCTACCAATCCATTTTGTAACAGCGACCTTCAGAACTACAAGATAATACAGCTGTGTGTTTTAAGCCACTGTGTTAGTAGTAATTTACTATTGAAACTAATATGCCCCCAAGCCTGCATTTTGATGGTGAAATGGACTGGTAAGGTTAGTAGTTAGCAGACAATGAATTTGATACCTGGAACTGTGGAATAAGCGAAGAGAAAGTCGGCTTCAACTGGGATTTTATGTCGGGGATGAGCGTCTCTTTCACTGATGGGCCCTGAATCAACCTCGATCCCATCATCGAGCTCTGTCCCTCGGCAAGCCTAAATATCAAAGCAGAGATCACTCCATGGAGTTGGGAACAGAAATTTGTGTGCTGTTCACTGCTGCGTTCCAGTGCCTAGAACTGTGCCTGGCATACATTCACTGGGAGTTCAGCCATCATATGATGAATGGATAATAAACGAATGAATGTTGTGTCGAATTACTAAGCAAGGCAAATAAATGTGTGGCACTGTCTTAAAGAAACCTTCATAATTTGTGATCCAAGGCAAATATGCCAACCGTTTAGAGATTGCAAAAACCCAAATTTGCACACCCCATTGGAAACAGCATGTCGATTTGTAAAAGTGATATCATCCCAGTCACTCTGTAATTCATTTCCACGTTCAATTGTATTGGCTTTGAAAAGCGATTACCTGAATAAAGAAGAGTTTGGGTTTCTCTAAAAGGGTTTTGCATCTGTCCCCCCTAAAATAGGCTGTCAAATCCTTTATTGGTGTCATTCCATCTTTCCCATAAATTACATTTTCTTCTCCATGGCTTAATAAGATGCAGGCAAAGCAGGCTGAGTTTGTATGGTCTTCTTCAGAAGCTACAAGCAAACAATTGTAACAATGAGAAGTTAGAACTTAAGCCCTCAGATGCATTATTCCCAGAGGCTGACACTAAGTGTTAGAGACACAGAAGGGTGGGGGTGGGGAAGAGCAGGGGACCGGGCTCCTCTCGAAGGACTGGACTTTGACCACCCGAGATTGAGGACAAGTGGAGAGAAATTAGAGAGGGGGAGAATTCTAGAATTCTCAGAGTCTGAAATCGGAATGGGGCTGCCTCATGAGGAAGTGAACTCTGAGTACCAGTCGCCGAAGCAACATACTGGGGAGCCGAGGGGCGTGGCCATGTTGTGTGCTAGTTCTGTGTGCTAGTTCTGCAAGTTAATTAAACATTTTGTGCCTTGGTTTCCTGTTTGTAAAGTGGTGATAATAGTACTTATTAAATGCATTCATATTTGTAAAAGCGGGCCGCATAATAAGCATCATGCAAGTTATTTGTTAAAGAAAACATGTTAAGTGAAATAAGTCAGTCCCAAAAGGACAAATACTGTATGATTCCACTTTTATGAGGTACCCAGAGTAGTCAAGTTCACAGAGCGAAAGCAGAATGGTGGTGGCCAGGGGCTGGGGGAAAGGGGACATAGGGAGTTCGTGTTAGTCTATTAGACACGGAGTTTCAGTGAGGGAAGGTAAAACGAATTTTGGAGATGGGTGGTAGTGATGGTTACATTACAACGTGCATGTACTAATGCCACTGAACTATGCACTTAAAAATGGTTAATAGTATAAATTTTATGTTACGTGTATTTTAGTGCAATTCTTAGGAATTAAAGAAAAAAAATAAATAGAAGGAAATAGAAATGCTAGACTGGCTTTCAACTTAGAACAGGGAGGAGAGGAAGCAAACTCATCTCAGGTTCTGTGATACTACTGACTAATTAACTAACTAGCTAATTAACTAACAAACAGATCCTTTCTACTTTATGATCCATGACGGGGGAAGAATGAGATTTGGAGTTTCTTGAGCATCTACCATGTGCCGACACTGATCTAGGTACATTACATGAGTTATTTAATCCTTGCAAGAACCCCTTGCAGGGGGCCTCGTTTATCTTTACGTCACTGATAAAAAGTAGAATATCAAAAAGGTTTCATAACCTCGCCCCAGAGTGGCAGAACCTGTTGGAGCCCTAGAGCCCTGCTTCAAACCCTGGTGCTGCAAGGCCCAAGTGTGGCCTCTCCCATCTGAATCACGGAGACACCTGGCATCAATCTGCTCGGTGACTTCTGTTTTAGTTTTGATAACAGACGTGTAAGATGATGGCAATGGAAGCTGGAATTCTTAGCTTACTTGAAGATCAGATGAATTAGGCTAGAGTTGGACAATGGGAGTTTTGTTCTCACTGGAATTGATTGCACAGACAGTCACTTAGAAAAAGAACTACTTTACTGTTTTGGTAGGATAATAAACATGCTCTGGGCTTGGGTGCAGTGACTCACTTTTCATGAGAACAGAAACCATAATTGGGACAAGCCCTTGTGCCTGTACACTTTTCGAAGCACGCTCACAAACTTTCTCTTGGCTAATCCTCACTCCAACCCCAGGAAGCAGGAGGATCTGGCACCAGGATCTCCATTTCAGAAAAGCAAAAAAATCAGGAAGATACGGTTGCTTTGCCTACATCATCCTGCTGCTAGAACTTGGGCTACACCCAGAATGTGGACTTCTGATTTCTAGTCTGCTCCATCACATGACCTACTAGGGTACAAAAGGTCAGTTTGTAAGATTCAAGTTTGAAGAAATCAGAAAAAGACACCTATTTTTTTTAAGAAAAACAAGAGAAAGTGGGTCTTTTTCCTTTTCTGCATAGCTAAGAAAAGCAGCAGTGATTTGAACTGTGTTGCTATCTACTGTCTGTGGGTCCCTGTCTAATGAATTAGCAGGATATTACTTTCATATACTTGCCCTAAATGCCAGAGTAGCCTACGTGGCATCCATCCATCAGATAGTGTGGTGTCATAGAAAATGCATTTGTCCTGGAGTCAGAAGACCAGAGCTTGGTTTCAGTTCTGCCCCTCCTAACTGTAACCTTCACTATGCCTCATCCTCTCTAAAAAAGGGATGTCAATTGATTTATAAAACAGGCATGATACATTCTGTTGGCCAACACTGCAGGGGTTGTGCTAATGATTTAATAAAATAATTGTGTGAACATGCTATATAAAAAATAAAGTAGTTCTGAAGTAAATGGAAATTATTTTCTCTATCTGCCATCAGGGTAAAGTTTACACTTAAACTCCACTCTGGACAGTATGACATAGATTACTTGCTACCTCTCTAGAAATTATCGTCTTGAAATTGCGACCGTTCTGTATATACAGGACCTGTTTCTCTTGCTGGAATTTAAGCTGATTTCATCACTTTATGGAGAGATTAAAGTTTCCTGGAAGAGACCTGCCCACCCCAGGACAGGTACAGACTGGCCAGGAGGGAGGAAGCCTTCTCAGGTTTCTGCGTCCTGGAAAGGCATCCTCTTGAGACCAGCCTGGGCCCTGCTCCTCTTGGGCACAGGAGGAAGACAGACAGAGGCTCTGTAAGTGCTCACCCTTTTTAAGCAAGTCTTGCATCTTGGCACAAGAGCAGTCATTATAGACAACCACCTCAAACCCCAGGTTGCGGAAGCACTTCACAAGGGCCTCTGCATCTTTGTCTGTTCCATTTCGGACGCCCATACCTGCAGGAATCAAGCAACAAGTCCACCGATGAGTAATCCCTGGCCGGATACCATGGGCAGGTACCAGCAGGCCAGGCGCTGAATGCAGCCCGCACCAGCCCCAGCGCAAACGCCCTCCATGGTCCCAATTTAAATGAGCAAGTGAAATGAGGAGTGAACTTAAAGGAGAGGGCGCTTCAGCCTGCCCACAATGGCTGAGCCTCCTCATGGTAGCACTCAACTCCAGTCAAGGCTCTCCATGATTCTTAGCCCTTTTTTTTTTTTTTTTTTTTTTTTTTTTTTTTTTTTC